GGGTGGGGAGGGCTGCTGGCCGTTGGGCGCCCCCACTCCACCTAACGGAGGAAAGAAGCGGCCGTTCAGAAGCGAGGCGCACAGCAGCGCGGCGCCCACCATCTCGGGGCCTCGCTTTCCTCCGGAGTCAGCTCCTACTCAAATTCTGTGGGTTCGCCTCCCAAGTTCACCCTGGCATCCAGGACCAGCCTCCCTCCGCCCCAGGACTCCAGCGCCTAACTCGCTTTCTAGTAGCGCTTGCTTTCCCCATTTTTGGGTGGGCAAAGCCCAGCTAGGGGAAGGAGGAGGAAGGAGCCCGGGCGCCGCCCCCGCGGGAACCCAGCTCAAGAGCAGCGGAGACTGCAGTTCCGAGAAGTAACGCACGGGGGCGCCAGGACAAGCGCGGCCGCTGGAGAGGCAGCGAAAGGTGGTTCCGTCCGTGTGAGTGTGTCCATGGGCGTCTTTGTGTGTGTGTGTGTGTTTCTGTACGTGTGTATGAGTCTGGGGTGTCTGGGTGGGATCCATCCAGGACAACAGGCCAGGTGTGCCCCAGAAACAGGTACCCCAAATGGCTTTTTGATGAAGATGATTCTTGATCTGTAACTATGTACGTGTGGATGGGAAGGCAGAAGACCTGTGTGCATTGTCGCGTGCGTACGGTGCAGACTGGGAGTCCCGGAAACCGCATCTTGGGTTTTGAAGTCGCAATTCTAGAAGGTTTTGATCCCTTTCCCATCACCGGTGAGAGTAAGGAGGACTCTCAGCCAGATCCCCATTGCCCTACCACATCTTCTGCCTAAGTCTGGGTGACAGTGCTATGCTAGGTGTGACACTGTGTCTGTCAAGTGGGTGTGTCTCAGAATCTTAGTGCAACTCTGTATAGTAGTGTCGTGTGTGTGTGTGTGTGTGTGTGTGTGTGTCTGTGTGTGTGACAGGTGAGTTTTGGAAGGGGCTGGATCTGGATTATGGAAGTGCACAATTTCTTTTCTCTTCATAGTCTATGGATACCACCTTCATAATGTGTGTGTGTGTGTGAGAGAGAGAGAGAGAGAGAGTGTGTGTGTAAGTGTGAGTGTGTGTATGTGCATGTTCCTTCCTCAGTCTCTCCTGTAGCTGTCTCTCTGTCTCTCCTCATCTCTGTCTTTTTCTTGGTGACTCATCTCTGCGGCTATGCCCTACCCTGGCTTGCTCTGTCTCCCCTCCCCCGTTCAGGAGTTGGGGGTGGTCTGAGGGAATGGGACCCTGGGGCTAAAATTGGAATGAGCACTCCTTTCACATCATTCTTCATTTAGGACCCTCCAGTGTCCCCTAACCCTTTCCCAGGACACCCCATACCTAGGTAGCTAGGGGATAGGGCAATTATGTGTTTTTAATGGAGCTATTTTCAGGGGGTCTTCAGTACCTACTTTCAGATTCAAGTGGATACCCCTGCCCCTCTCATAAATTGCCCCCTCCCTGCCTGTCCCCACCATGGCTGACGCAGTAAAAGGCTGCAGAGGTGAGTCACCGGTTGGGGGGAGGGGTGGCGAAGAAGGGGATGGTGAGCTGTGTTTGTGTGTGTGTGCATGTGGAGGGTGGTCTGAGCCCTTTCTTTCCCTTCTAGATCATCTTAGGGAAAAGACTCAATGCTCTGTCCCATTGTCCTTTGGTTTTCCAAACCTTCAGCTTGAATCACTACTGTGCTGGACCTCATCTTCTTTTGCTACCCTCCTGGGGACTATGGGAAACTCAGAAAGAAAGATAAAGAAAGAAGGGTTCATACGCAAAGCAAATGCCAGTCATCCCTACTAGGTCCCCATTTGAGCTCTACCCTTTCCAGCTGTCTCTTTCTATCTCTCTGTCCTGCCATTTTCCTCCTCTCCCCAATCTCAGGAACCAGTCCTTGGTCCAGATCTTTTCTAGAATCTCCTAAAGGCAGCAAGGTATAAAGGGCAGAACTCATCCCTGGGAGATGGAAGTACCTGTGAATGAACTGACCCAGGTAGGACACTGGGATGGAGAAAGATGAGAACAGACCCAGTAGAGAACATGTAGAAAAGAGGGGTCAAGTGGCAGGGGAGATAGCTCAGTAGAGTAAGTGCTTGCCTGGAAAACGCAAGGGCCTCAGTTCAATCCCCGGTTCCACCAATCCATTGAGAGAGAGAGAGAGAGAGAGAGAGAGAGAGAGAGAGAGAGAGAGAGAAGGGGGGGTCAAGATTGAGATTATAGAGCCACTGGATCTACAGCCTTTGATGCCCACCTTCCCCAACCCCTACTTTGGCCATTGCCCACTACCCTGTACCATCCACTGGTGACAGAAGCACTTGGGATATGGATGTCTGAGAATCTCTTTTGGGTTTCCCAGTAAATGGGGGTGGGGGCGTGGAAGAATGGGAAATGCTCTAAAAACCAAGCACAAGGACCCGGAACTTGGAGCCTGCAGGTGAGTAGCTTCAATTGTGAAACTGTACTGTACAGGTCTGGAAATGAAGGTGGATGGGGGAAGGGCAAGAAAGATCAAGGCATATGGCAATTCACATAAGCACCAACATAGCCTGGTAGGCACAGGACTCAGAGAAATGCACCAAGACTTGTATGCCTACACATAAATGTTATTGTGCACCACCAGGCCAGGCATATGCTCTTCTTATGCCAGCAGATGCCCAGAAGTGAGTGCATTCAAAAGACAGAAAAATTGCATAGGTACACAGGCACTCAGAAGAGAGCAGATCCCACACAGACTCCTGGTAGTAGGCAAAGACAATCACATAGAGATCTACTGTTTAAAATGGAAACACCACCAAGCCCATCTACTTTCAATTTAAGTATATAAGTAATTGACTCCCCGAAGCCTTTTGTTTTCCTTCCCCACTATGGGTCTCTGAAATCTCTGTCCACAGGTAAACACACATGTATGTGCACACACTGTGGCCAGTGCAGACACTGCTCCACAGGGATGTAGTTTCTCCAAGTGCTCAGCTCCCCTGCTGTCTTGCAGTTGGACCCTTGTCCTATCATCTGACCCCATGACTCCCTCCCCTCCCCATTCCTTCTGGGATGGCTTCCCCTCCCCCTCTCCAGATGTCTGAGCCTTCTTTCCACTCACCCTCCTCAGGAAGACCCCTGCCCATCCCACCGCTCCCCATAACCGGGTTGAGAAGAGGAAGGCAGATGAGAGGGTGAGGGGAGCCCGGTAGAGCAGGGGCAGACCTTGGTTAGGTATAGGGGGTGAGGCATCGCCTGGGGAGTCTCTTGGCCCCCTCTCCATCCTCCTTTCTTCCGAATCGTCCGTGTCCCCTTTATTGTCACTTTTTTTCTCCTTTAGCCTGCCCCTTTCACCTGCTCCAGGTTCCTTCTCCCTTCCCTGCCCCCATCATTTTTTCCTTTCCTCTCTCCTCTCCTCCCCACCACTTTCCCCGCAGAGCTGATGGGCTTTCTTCTGGGAAAGTCAAGCCACTGATGGAAGCGAGAAGCCACTGCTGGCTGTAGAGGGAAAGCACGTGAGTGTGTGTGTGCTGGAGGGAGGGGGTTGGAATGAGGGTCATAAACAGAGATGAGGAGGGGGCTAGGCCTGGCTCTGGAAGAGGCTCTGAATCCCTGCAGACAGCCTCAGTCCTGGCTTCCAGAGTCTCAGGGTGCGGGTGCCCTGCGTGTGCCCATGAGCACCCCTGTGTCCGCAGTTCTTGTGTCTGGCGTGTGTCATTGTCACTCCCCCCCTTTCCCAGCCCACGCCCCCGCACTGCTCTGCCTGCACCGCAGCCCCCTCCAGCCTCCCTCCCTCCCCTTCATTCCTGCAGTGGCCGCTCCCTTGGCCACCTTCCTTTCTCCCCTACCCCCTCCCCATTTCCGTCCCCCCCAACCCCCGCCCACGCCTGGTCTCCCTTCACCGGACCCGGCTCGCTTATGGATTCTCTCTGCGCAATCTGTGCGTCATCGCCCCCCACTCCCGGAACCTCTAGCTATTCAAGCCCCCAGCCCCAACCCCTCTTGCAGGAGATACGGTCGAAGGGTCTGATGGCAGAGACAGTGTATCTCTGACGTTTCAGCGCCCCCTCCACGTCGCATTCAAACCCATTGAAACGATGGAGAGGGCTGGAGTTGAATCACTCCCCCCACCTGCACAACCCCCTCCCCACCTGGTCTGGTCTCGCCCTCCAAATGTCCTTGGGTAGGGGGAGCAGCGGGAAGGAAAGAAGCTGAAAGAGGGTGGAAAGAGGAGGACTGAAACGGGGAACCGCGGGGGTCCCCCCCATGCACAGCCCAGTCAGCCGGACAGAAAGACAGACACACCTTTTTCTCCAGACACGAACCGGTCGTGAACAGGCACGACCCAGAGGCACACACATCCTCTTTCCCCTTTCTCTTCCGACTCGGACCCTTTCCAAAGTGACTGTCAAAACCGCAAGATCCACCCATCTGCCAGGGCCCTGGGCCGGCACCCCACACCGCAGATACGCGGACAGCGCCCTCCTTCTCAGGTTCAAGCCGTCCTTGGGCGTGTCCCCATGGGCTGTGCGGTCTCGGGTTAAGAAGCCTGGTCCCATCCAGACTGCAAATCGTTATCGTGACCCTCCTCAGTATTGGTCTCCAACTGGGTCCATTCAGACGCTGGGGGTACCCCCTGCCTATTCTGTTCATCAGCGCGAGCTCCGCAGCAGCAAGTTGCTTTGTAACCCACCCTCCCGCCTTCTAACGCCTCTGCAGGCACCCTTCCATTCATTCTTCCATTCATTCATTCATCCTTTTCTCCTCGTCTCTCCTTCATTCATTCATAGCCCCCTACCCCCGCCCACCTCAGCATTTCATTCATTCATTCATTCATTCATTTCCCGGAGCTCCGCTAGCGCACGCCCCTCCAGTCGAGGGCCCCAGTGCGCAGGCGCAGACCAGGAACGGCGCATATCCTCCAATCGCCGGGCATCCTTCCTCCATCGGGCGCCCGCCCGCTTCCCCATGAATGAACATTGACGTCAATGGGGCGGGGCGAGCCCACGTGACCCCGCGCGCTCTCCTTTATAAAGCGGAGGAGACGCGGGCGCTGTCCAGCGTGCTGGAGCCAGAGCTAGCGAGCTGCCCGGAGCTGTGCCGACCCAGCTGAGCCCAGACCACTGGACGCCAGGTCTCCACCGTCGCTCGTGCCCCAGCTAGCTCTCGGATCCAAGGCAGCCGGGGCCCGATCCTCCCCTGTCCCTATCCTGCTCCGACCCTCCACTTCACCTCCGGCGTCGTGACACCGGCTGGTAAATACTTTGCCGTCTGTCCCTCAAGCCCTTGGCAGCCTTGGGTTTGAGGGAGGGTTCCCTTTCCTCCCAGATGGGGGTGTTGAAAACACAGCGGGGAGCCTCTGGTGAGGGTCCCTGGTAAATGGGGGAGTCGCAGCTTTTCTCATGCTGAAGTCGCCCACGCACCATCCGGGGAGTCCTGCGGGGAGGGAGCAAAGATTTTTTTTTTTTTTTTTTTTTTTTTTTACTTATCTTTGCTGCTTAGTACGTGGGCGCTGGCAGTGAGATGGCTCAGGGAAGGGGGTGAGGAGGCATCAGGTGAGCGAGGGTTGCGGGGGTTTTTCTCCCATTTACACGGCACATCCAGAGATCGACACATCTTCCTCGTTCGCTCCTAAACATCCCTTCTTCTGGGTAAGGTTAGGGGGATGAGGAAAGCCCCGGGTTTCCTACTTAAAGCGGGGGGAAGGGAATGTAAAATTAGAGAGTGGGGAATTCTTACAGAAATCCCTTTTCTTTGGTTTCTTTTATTTTTCAGTCTGCAGCAGCCCGTTGGTCATGAAATCCCTCAGGTTGCTGGCTTCTACTCTCTTCTGCTGCCTTCTACTGATCAAGGGGTTAGGAGCTGCGCCCCCAGGACGCCCTGAGGCACAGCCTCCTCCCCTCAGCTCTGAGCATAAAGAGCCAGTGGTAGCTGGGGACGCAGTGCCCGGGCCAAAGGATGACAGCACCCCAGAAGTCAGAGCCGCTCGGAATTCCGAGCCACAGGATGAGGGAGAGCTTTTCCAGGGCGTGGATCCCCGGGCGCTGGCCGCGGTGCTGCTACAAGCACTGGACCGCCCGGCCTCGCCCCCGGCGCCAGGTGGCTCCTCGCAGGGGCCAGTGGAAGACCCAGCAGAAGCTCTGCTGACCGAGACGGTGCGCAGCCAGACGCACAGCCTCCCGGCGCCAGAGACCCAGGCGCCTGCCGCCCTGCCTCACTCCCAGACTCAGGAGAACATTCCCGAAGCGGGCGATCCCAATGAGGAGCTCGAGGCGCTAGCGTCCCTGCTCCAGGAACTTCGAGATTTCAGTCCGAGCAACGCCAAGCGCCAACAAGAGACGGCGGCGGCAGAGACGGAAACCCGCACGCATACGCTGACCCGCGTCAACCTGGAGAGCCCGGGGCCCGAACGTGTGTGGCGCGCCTCCTGGGGAGAGTTCCAGGCGCGCGTCCCGGAGCGCGCGCCTCTGCCGCCCCCAGGCCCCTCGCAATTCCAAGCGCGCGTGTCTGAGAGCGGGCCCCTTCCCGAAACCCACCAGTTTGGGGAAGGAGTGTCCTCCCCGAAAACACACTTGGGCGAGGCTCTGGCACCCTTATCCAAAGTGTACCCGGGCCTGGGGACCCCCTTCCCCAAGGCGCGCCGGCCGGAGAGCGCACTGCTGGGCGGCTCTGAGGCGGGCGAGCGCTTACTCCAGCAAGGGCTAGCGCAGGTGGAGGCCGGGCGGCGGCAGGCGGAGGCCACGCGGCAGGCAGCCGCGCAGGAGGAACGGCTGGCCGACCTCGCCTCCGACCTGCTGCTCCAGTATTTGCTGCAGGGCGGAGCCCGGCAGCGCGGCCTGGGGGGTCGGGGGCTGCAGGAGACGCAGGAGCGAGGGCGCGAGCGGGAGGAGGAGGCGGAGCAGGAGAGACGCGGCGGGGAGGAGAGGCTGGGAGATGAGGACGAGGACGAGGAGGCGGCGGAGGCGGAGGCGGAGGCGGAGGAGGCGGAGAGGGCGCGGCAGAACGCGCTGCTGTTTGCCGAGGAAGAGGAGGACGGGGAAGCCGGAGCCGAGGACAAGCGCTCCCAGGAGGAGACGCCAGGCCACCGACGGAAAGAGGCAGAGGAGGGCGGGGAGGAGGAGGACGACGAGGACATAGACCCGCAGACCATTGACAGCCTCATCGAGCTGTCCACTAAACTCCACCTGCCAGCGGACGATGTGGTCAGCATCATCGAGGAGGTGGAGGAGAAGCGGAAGCGGAAAAAGAACGCCCCTCCCGAGCCCGTGCCAGCCCCCCGGGCCGCCCCTGCCCACGTCCGCTCCCCGCAGCCCCCGCCCCCCGCCCCTGCCCGCGAGGAGCTGCCGGACTGGAACGAGGTGCTCCCGCCCTGGGATCGGGAGGAGGACGAGGTGTTCGCCCCCGGGCCCTACCACCCTTTCCCCAACTATATTCGGCCGCGGACACTGCAGCCGCCTGCGGCCTCGCGTCGCCGCCACTACCACCACGCCCTGCCGCCTTCGCGCCACTATCCCGACTCGGAGGCCGCGGCGCGCCGCGCGCAAGAGGCAGCAGAGGCGGAGGAGCGCCGGCTGCAGGAGGAAGAGGAGCTGGAGAATTACATTGAGCACGTGCTGCTCCGGCGCCCGTGACCCGCCCCGGCTCCGCCCCCGCGCGCCCCCGCCGCGCGCGACACCTCTCCCCCCTCCGTGTCGCTCCTCCCCCTCTCGGTGTTTGCATGCGCCCCAGCCCCGCCCTCTGCCGCCGCCCGGCCCCGCCCCCGCCGCCCGGTCCCTGGGCTGAGCAGAGACGTGCCAATCTCCGGTCAGAAGCCCAAACGGTCAGAACTCAGGGGCGACGCGGGGGCAGCCACGGCAGGCAAGTGGTTTGTGTGAGATCCCTTTCCCCACGGGGATCTGTCCCCATCTAGTCTGTCCGGGGACATCCCAGTCCAGACTGGAAAAATCAGTTCTAAGTAATTGTGTGAAAAAAGTCTGTCTGTCTCCAGCCCTGCCGTTGGGCTTCCCCGCCCTCTCCAGATCGCTGTGAATTTACCCCTTCTTTCCTTTCTCTATTGTAAATACCCCTCACGGAGGAAATAGTTTTGCTAAGAAATAAAAGTGACTATTTTATTAGGACTTTGTTCTCCATTATTCACCCGTCCCCTTGGGCCTATAGTCCTTCCCAAGGGGCGGTGAGGGAAGCGCCAGCCAAGGTGCCTGTCGCCTTCTCCTTCACTCCTTACCAAAGCCAGAGCTGTCCCAGGTTCCGGGAACAAAACAAAACAAACAACCAAAGCCAGAGCTGAGTGACTGAACGCGGAAACTCTATTTTGGGGAGTACGTTTCATCCGTTAAAAATTCCTACATTCTATCTCCATCTGGGGGTCAGGTGTTGGTCTCCTTGAGAGAACCTGAGAGGAATGTAAGAGTTCAGCAAGCTTCTACTTCAAAAGAAAAAGCCACCTCAACAGCAGCTCTGGGCACCTGGGCAGCCTTTCCTTTTCCAGGTCCTGGGTGGTTCCTCAAAGGCCCTCTTCCCCTCACATACCCACTCCCTTACCAACTCCCAAGAACTCCCCGGCCTACACACGTCACTAGAAATTCAGGGAGAAGGGTTTGGCAGCCACCTGTTTTTAGTGATCTCTCGATGACCTTTTTCTGAACATAGATAGCCTTGAACTCTATTCCAACTCCAAATAAGATACAACTTGGAAAATAAAATCTCCCACGAAGAAATTTTAGAGGAACAGACCCACAGCCCTAGGAGCTGCTTCTCATGGGGTAAAGACAGCGACTGGAGAAACATCCAGACATAATGGTGTGTGAGGTAAGAGGGTCAGATAAGAATAGGACACCCAGGTGAATTTTGATGCATGCGCATGTGTTTGGTAGGACAAGCGTGCTCCCCTTCTGTATGGGACACACTTATAAAAACTCCTTTGCTGTCTGACATTCCAATTTAACTGGGTGTCTATTTTGTTTTCCTTCCTCTATTGGCCACCCCATTCATTTCCAGGAAGTGGCCAACTGGCAGGGAGCTCTGGGCCTTCCTGTGGATGCCCAAAGTCCTGTCTTCCTTCACAGAGCCAGAGGCAAGCAGGTGCAAGAAACACTTTTTCCTTTTATTCAGAAGAAAGGAAATAAAGGCAGACACTTGGGCCACCCAGCCCTTAGCTCCTGCCTTACCCAGAACATGGGGTGAAGGACAGGGCTAGTGTTCCAGAAAGCCTGCCCTTCCCCCAACCCTTCCTTCCCTCAAAGTGGCAAGGTTAGAAAAAAATTAACTATGTTGTTTCTGCCCTGGCACTGGACAGAAGCCACACTGCAGCCAAGGAGGAACTGGGACAGCTGAGGGAAAAGGCCCCCTCCCAGGAAAAGAATCTGCCCTGGCTGGCTAGGGGTAGGGGTGGAGGTAGGTTTTGGGACAGGGGGGAGAGAAGAGCCCTGAAAACCTTTTCCCTTTAACCTGACATATTTATATATTTACAGTGGTAAGGGAAGGAGGATGGCTGGGGTCACATTGGTTCTTCAAAGGCAGGGAATGAAAGCCAAATAGCACCCCTGTCTCGGGCACGTTTTCCAACTCTTGGCTCCTAAAGCTTTCAGTGGGAAAGGTGGGAGTGGAAGGAGGGAAGGTTTGCAGGGCCAGAGCCCACGGCTCCTTCTGAAGAAGGTGTGGTGGTCAAGGAGGGCATCCAGGTCAGGCCCCACGGAGGGTTGTGGGAGCAGCAGTCGCCATGCCTGCCTCGCCCCCAGCTCCACAGGGCCCAGCCATCGAGGGCTATGCCAGGCCCATCTCCTCCAGCACGCTGCGTGGCGACTCATCCTCCTGAGGCAGAGACGGACACGGGTGACGCAGAGACACCAGGAGAGGCCGACAGGGTGGGCAGGACAACAGCAGTCACGAGGGAGGAAGGAGTTGAGGTGGAAGCAGACACACGAGGTAGGGGAGAGAAACCAACGTGAGTCTAAGACTTAGCAACTTCGAGTCCTTCAGCTCAGTGTTGGGGCACCACCCCAGCACTCAGGGTGGCAATGAGGGTCCAGACCGAGTCCATCACTACCCCCCAGAGAACCCAAAGCCAGGAGCTGGGGGCACAGGGGGATGGATCAGCCCCAGGACCTAAGGGCAAAGGCAGTGAAGTTAGGACTAGGGGAAGAGGGGTACAGATGGTTGGGTCCTGATTTTCAGGTAAGAAGGAGGTGGTAAGAGTACCAGGTCCCTGAGGGAAAAGTGAACCAGACTCTGCAGAGAGATGAGTCATTAAGGTCTGACCAGAGCACTAGTAACCAGGTGGGGGTGTGAGCCAGGGCACGTGAGGGAAGCGGGGTGTGTGTGTGTGTGTGTGTGTGTGTGTGTGTGTGTGTGTGTGTGACAGAGAAAGGGGACAGTGGACCATGAAGGTGCAAGTTCAGGTCTGCCCCTTCCTGTCCTGCACATATGAGCCCCCCTCCCCCCCAGCCCTCTCTCTCTCCCCCTCCTCAGAGCCAGCTCAGCCTGGCTTGCTCATCACTGTCACTGCAGATTCCGGTGACTCATCTCCCTGCACCAAGGCTCACAGTGGCACAGCAGAGAGAGGACAGGCAGGAATAGGGTAGGGTGGGGCACTGAATAACAGGGAGAACCAACACCAGGTGCCCCCACCCTGGGCCTGGGCCCCACAGCCTTTTGCTCCTGAGAAGTAGAGGCTTTTGAGTATGTGTTGTAAAAAGTGGAGCAGTTAGGGAAGAAGGAAAGACCCATGGGTCCCTTCTCCAATTCTCTCAGCAATGGTTTCAGCCAAGAGAGAAATATTAAGGAATGCAAGGACAAGGTAGGGACAAGGTAGCTTGAGTCTTGGGAGGACAGTGCTTGGAAAGGGGACAACTGCCACAGGTGGGCGATGGCTCTGCTCTCTCCCACTCCACGGCCATGTGGGCATGGTGTGGACCAGACACCACAGGGAGGGGGACCCCCTTGGCAGTGGGCAAGTTGTGCAGGAGAGGAGGGTCCCTTCAGTCACAACACTCTTCCTCCTCCTCCTCCTCCTCCTCCTCCTCCTAACTGTCCCTGGCTCGTACCTCCTGCAGCAGGTCAGCCTGCTCGATGGCCTTGAGAACGCTCTTCTTAGAGGTGTCCTGGACATCCCCTCCCATTAAAAACTCATCCAGAATGAAGTAGGCCTTCTCAAAGTTGAAGATGATGTCCAGCTCACACACCTGGGAGGGGAAGGGGGGGGGTTAGCACTGGGGTGCACACACGGCCCCTTGCTTTCCTCAGGGCAGACTCCTTCCACTCTGGGTTCCTACTGAGTCTCATGTTCTCACATCTTCCTGATCCCCAAGCCTTAGTGCTTGGGTTGGCTTTTTCTTAATTTGCTCTTGCCTCCTGTTATGGGAGCATGTCATGAGTTACCTTCTTCCACCCTTGTCTTCAACCTTTTGTAATCTTCCCCCTAAAATCTGTGACACCATTCCCACCAGGGCCTGGGCTAGGCTCCCTCCCCAGACTGGGGGCAGGGAAGGAGATCTGGCTGGTGGGGTAGAAAATGTGAGTCCCAAGCAAGACTCTGCCAATACCCAGGGAGCAGTGCACATCACAGAATGTCTCTGAGCCTGTTTCTCATCTGAAAATGGATAAACTAACACCTATTTACAGGAAGAGATAGGAGCAAACAAAAAAGCCTAAAAGGGCTTTGGGTAAACTGTGAAGTAGGATATAAATTAAGGTGCCATCAGTACTCCCTATCTAAAATCTGCCCTAGCCCAGGCCCCAGGCCAAATCTGGGCAAGTTAACTCAGAATATCTGGAGTTAGGACTCTAGTATTTTCTTTTGTATTTTAGGGAAGGGTCTACAGGGTGTTCAGGGTCTCACTACTAGATTGGACTCATAGTGACCCACCTGTTTACAGCCTCCCAAGAGCTGGGATTACAGGCACACACCACCATGCCCAGTCTCAATCGCTGTCTCAGTGTGCCCCGGAGGTGGGACCAGCATGGCAGGCCCGAGGATTGAACCTGGCCCCTGTGACTGCTTGCAGACACTTTAATCTGCTGAGCTATTTGGCCAGCCCTAGGACATTATTATTATTATTATTATTATTATTATTATTATTATTATTATTTTGAGAGAGGGTCCTGCTTTGTAGTCCAGGCTGGTCTTGAAGCCCAGGCTGGGCTCAAACTTGTGATCTTCCTGCTGCAGCCTCCTGGAGTGCGAGGATTACATCTGTGCACCACCATGCCCCACTTCCTAGGCATTCTTCTTTTTTAAAAAACTCCAGAAGAGTATAATAAAAAGCCAAGGTCAGGAACCAATGACCAAACCCAAATCTGGTCTCCATCTTCATTGGAGAAGTCTGAGCTGAGCTCTCCTGGGGATTAAGTACCAGAATCTGCCCTTTCTCCCCCTACCCTCCAGGGCGATTAAAGGATGTGGCTAATAGGATTAAAGTTTAAAAAGGGAGATTAATTACTGTTCTCACTGCTCCAACTTCACTTTTCCCTAGGACTTCCAAGGCAGAGCCTGGCTGGGTCTCAAAGTTTAACAGGAAAAGGAGATTGCTGGGTACAGGGTAAGTTGGGAGACTTACGCTGCCAAAGTATTTGTCCAGAAGCTCCACGTATCGATGGATCAGCTCCAGTGTGATGAGCTCATTGTCCTGGCCCTCGATGGCGCAGCAGAAGTAGAGGCTGGCATATCTGAGGAGGGGGCACAGGACACATAGCCAGGAGCTGGTCCCAAGGACCCAGGCATTCAGGCCTCCAACCTCCC